TGAATACAACCCAGTATGCTGTGAGCTTTGGACGGCGCGTGCGGGACTTTGGGTTTTTCAAGGTTCGCCAAGGTGTCTGATAAACAAAAGATCAGCGAGCTTGGACAGACGTGACTTCAGCATGGTTGTCACAGATGGATTGCACTCTGTGCCTATTCTCGGGGATCTGCTCTATATCGCGGCGCATCCTATTGACAAGCTACAGCTAATCAGCCACCACAAATCAGCCAACCAACCCAGGCACGCAATAACCAGAGCAAAGCAGAACGGGAAAGCCAAGCTGTCTTAAGCCTCAGCCAAGGGTTTCGCTATCCCCTTCGTCACATCATCGCGCACCCCGCGGCACTTGTGGTTGGTGATAGCTCCAACGTTCGAGATCGCGAAACTAGTTAGCCCAAAACAGGGAGGTCGAGGCCCGATTCCTCTTCCCCTCTTCGCATCCCCGGAGCACACGCACGACTGCGGTAGGTGGTAGTCGCTACCGCGCCGGAGGGACCCAAGTGCGAGCCTGCAGTGTTCTTGTCAGACGGTGGAGATTCGCGGGAATACCGGGATGGCCCCACCGCTCGAGTTTCAGAAGCCTTAAAATGGCACCTCGTCGTCTGAACCGAACGGCATGGGGGGCCCATGTTTCACTTTGCGACTCCGGATGGGCGCCGCCGAAGACAACTGGCCCGCCTGTGAGCAACGCCTGTGGCCGCCTGCTGGCCTTGCGAGTGATCACCGAAACTTGTTCCTGTGTTGCTCCCCTTCCCCCTTTCCGCTTCCCGACCTTCCGCAACTCTCAGTGTCGTGCTCGACGTCGGTTGCGCTCATCACCGTCCCCTTGCCCCCGTCTGAATTCCTGCCCATGACATGACGTCCAGAGAGGAAGACCCCTGCACGCGCACCGTCCGGTATCGAACCTGTCGAACCTCATGCGCCGAGAGCACCAGCCCAGCGCCAACCGTCGATCCGGGATAGCAACTAAAGAACCCCCCTGACCTTGGGCTCCAGGCCCAATGAGGTGGTGACTCGAGGTTTAGCCTAACGGTACTAAGGTTAATGGGGACAACCTGCCAAAAAAGACAGGTCGTGAACCTGCGACTTTCGAAGCTGCCGGCCCCAAGCCACCATCGCGCAACGACCTCTCTCTGAGTCCACGCCAAGTGTCAAGTCAAACCTGGCTCCCCTTCTCCACAGCCGCGCAGGAGCGATGCGTGTCGTCAGAAGCTCGACGTCCGCGCGGTTCGAATTCTCCATTGGTGATCTTGTGCTTGCGCGTGCGTATCGCAGGTACGCCAGCGCCATCTGTGCAGTTACAGCAGGTACAACATGACTGATGAACAATATTCGTCTGACTTACCTTCCCGACAGGGGAGGCAGGTAGGGGGTGGACTCCATCCCATATCGGCATGGCCCCATCAGTCCGATTGCCAGTGGCCACCCTTTTCATTGCGCAAACATGGAGAAGCCCGGTCCAAAAAAACCTGGGAACCGGGGTCTGGCGTGATTTGATTTGGGAACCTGAACAGACAAACGAGTTCAACTGCAAGAAAATAACCATCGTCTGAGCCAAGGCCACGCCCCCCTCCCCTCCCCAGATCCCAGACTTTAGTGTGAGCGGGAAGGAAAGGGCCAAGGGACGGAAGGAAGGAAGGAAGGAGAAATTTTGAAGATTGTGTTACAAGCTAACCACTACTTAGTGGCTTGCCCTTCCTCCTTCATCGTGCTTCCTTTCCCAGGCTCCCTTTCCTTCTTCTCTCCTTCCATCTTTGAATTGTTTTGTGAACTTTCCCACATTCTTTTCCTGCCAAACACGCAAACAAGACAGTCTGTTGACCGTCACTTCCTTTCTTTCTTTCCCAACCGACGATCTGTGATCCGTTTTTCCATTCTTTCCCTCCTGAGAGGTTGACCTTGTCCCTTTTTTCGACAAGCATCCAAACGAGTCCCAGCAACTTTCAGTCAATCTCGAAATACCATCGCGAGTGAAGTCAAGCCACCTGAACGAAGAAAAAGAAAGGAGATATTCCGAGTTCGCAACCGAAACGAAACAAAACGATCTCGCAGAGAAGGACTCGAGAATCAGTGGCTTGTTCGAGAACGATTCAGAACCTCAACCTCACTTACACCAAAACCCGAAACACTTCGAGACTATCACACATCAACGACAGCAAACAACAATGTTCACCATGCTCGTCCACACCTTCGTCCTCCTCCTCACCGCAACGGCCGCCCTCGCCGCCCCGGCTCAGCACCGTCACTGGCCGCGCTTCACCGTGCCCCAGCAGCACTTTGAGGTCCTCGGCATGCGCGCCCAGACGGAGGTCAACCCGGCTGCCGTGTTGGAGGCGACGTGCATCGACCGCAACGCGTATGTCTTTCACTTACACCACTTCCTCCCATCATTACGCCCGAACCCCACCTTCCAACTTATACCGATACCCGCTACATCTTTACACTGGACAATCACGTACTAACACATCCCAGCCACATCGTCTCCCATGACGCAAACTCAGCCGAGCTCGCCATCTGCGGCGGCATCTCTGGCTCCGCGACCACCTGCAAGGGCAACCCGTCCACCACCGTCGGCCAGTCCGGCTCCGCCCGCTTCACCATCAAGCCCACAACCGCAGGCGCCACCATCAACATCTCCAAGAACAAGTGGGAGCAGTGCGTCCGTGCTGCCCGCGACAAGTGCCCCACCGGCAGCGTCCGCGCTACCTGCTCCGGCGGTGCCACCTCCGGCGACGTCGAGTTTATCCTCGAGGCCATGCCTCCGTCTGGCGAGCTGTAATACAGCTTCAAGCCTAAATGTTTTGGCGGCGGGTGAGGGGACGTTGAGCAAGGCGTGTGTATCTTTTTCATTTTTCTCTGTTCGACACATTTTTATATTCTCGAGGAGGGTTTTCTTTGGTTAGGAACTCTTGCTCTGGCTGTGCCGTGGCTCGGCTCTTCGGACGGTAGAAGATCTGGATACCTGTTGGAGGATTCGAGCCGTGGTCGGCTTGGTTGAAGCTTCGGCTGTATATATCACGGTGGCCAGAAGGTCGTCTTTACATGTACAAAAGCATTCCGTTAGGAACTGATGAATCAATCCACGGGCTCAAGTCAAAACGATCCATTCCATTTTCAAAACAACTTGATGTGGGGTATCATAAACGCCATCTCGAAGCTCCCAGAACCTCCTTGTGTGACAAACATGAAAAGTACAAGTTCTTATAACACAATCCCTCGGTCCCTCCTCAGTACCCATACCTCGTAGCGCACTCCTCACGGTGTGTCTCCAAACAGTCCAGCGCGCACACCCGCGTCCCGCACTTCATACACTTCACCCGGCCCCAGTATCCGCAGACCTCGCAGAACGTTCGTTCGGGGTACCGCGTGTCCTCGTCGGCCCACTCCGCCCGCGCGTCCCAGAAGCTCAGCATCGGCTGCGCGAGGAGCCAGCGCAGCTCCTCGTCCGTCGGGGGCTCGGGCACGCGGGAGACGAGCAGCGGGTCTTCGTCGCCCGGGTGCGCTGGCGGGAGCGGCTTGTCGTAGGGCGCGAGGACCGGCCCGCCGCCTGAAGAATCCCCGAGGGCGGGCGGTGCGGGTATCATTTCGACGTCTTCTGGCTGGGGTACGGGTACGGGTGCGGGTTTCGGGGTGGATGTCTTTGAGCGCTTGGCGGCGTTGCGCTTTGTGTGTTGGTTCGGGTGGGGTGGTTTGTTCGCGGGCTTCGCGGTGTGCTGGTTCGGGTGCGGCGCGGGGGTGTTTTCTGCGTGGGACATGTGGGCGAGGTGATCGTCGAGGTGGTTTGAGAATGTCTTTTGGGACTGGAGGATCTTGCGGACGTTGGGTGTGCTTTTTGTCTGGGCTGCTTTTGGTCGTTTGTGGTCAGCCGGCGGTGTCTATTTACTTGGAAAGGAAGTAGCTCACCTCTGCTACCCCCTTTCGCCGGGATGGGAATCGTCGCGTCCCTGCCCCAGTCCTTGTCCAAGGCCTCGAGCTCCTTGCGGATCTTGGCCTCCTGGCGGACGTTGAGGTCGGAGGCGGAGGGGTTCGCCTTGGTGCGCGCGGCGCGTTTGCGGTTCGCGGGCTGGAGGGCGGCGGCGGCGGGGTTGACGCCCGTGTCGGGAACGTAGGCCCATCCCGGGGCGGATGTCGTCTTTGTGCTTGCGAGCTCGTAGACGCCGAAGTTGTTCATCTTTTTGATTTCCGGGTTGGGTGTGTAGGTGTTAAGGTTAGTCGTTGGCGCAGGACGTCTCGGTAGGTGGTCAAGAAGCTCGACTTTTTTGTGACGAATCAGAGGAGAGGAAATTGTTGATGGGGTAATTTTGGCCAATGAGCAGTGGCTGGCGACAACAATTGAGAGCTCCTTAATGAGTGCGTAGAAGAGATATTTTGTGAAAAGTCAGAATAATTCCCCAATTTCGACGCTTATGCAACTGCCATTCGATCATTCACCCATAAGACGTCATCATGGTCTTTCCCAGGTCGCAAAACGCCGACCATGTGCCGGAGCTTTGTAAGAGAAGCACCCCTTCCGAACCCCCCTTCACTGGGCCATGAAGCCACCACCCCCAGACAGCAAATCCCCCCAGACACCGAAAAACCTCGAAATTTCTGACCAATGGTCTGTGCCCAATGGCTTCCCGGCTAATCCCGCTGTGGCCGGCGCTGACGGAGGACAACGGTACCTGAGGTAATGGGCGGCGCAGCGGCAGAGCCAAGCCAGAGGGACAAGCAGCACCGACGACCTACCTGCGCAACAAGCATTAGCCGAACCATAGCTTCCCTCCCGCCCAATTTACGACCGACCCGAACCTGCAATTCCAACCTCCATCGCATACACCACACCCCCCCATCCCAACTTGCCTCCACCACCGGGTTGCGAGCTCTTTTTTTATCTTCTTCTTCCTCACTACGACACACAGAATCGAGCAAACCTCGTGAGCGACCAGAACTCACCTCTCGCCCCGGTCGCACGCACACGAAACCTCCCGGAATCGAACGCCCGACGACACGACGCAACAATGTCCTCCCGCATCCTCTCCCGCGCGCTCCCCCGCGCCTCTGGCCTGCCCATCCGCGCCGCCCGCTCCTTCCAGACCTCCTCCGCCCTGCGCGACGCCGCCGCCGCTCCTCTGCCTGCCCGGAAACCCGTCGGTGCCTTCCGTGGAGGGTGAGTGTCCTCCCTCCCCCCGTCCGGCCGAGCTTCGTCGAGTTCGCCCCTAGCTGCCCTACGTCATGCCCGCTAGGGGTGCTCAATTGGCCTCACGTGCAGGTCGCAGTCGCAGACGCCACCATATAATTTCGGGCTTCGTAGGAGATGGACATAGCGCTGACCTCAATGCTTTCGCAGTCTCTTCGGCTTCTTCCTCGGCAGCTCCCTCGCCGGCGCCGGCGTCTACTCGTACCTCCTCCAAGAATACAAGACCTCGAACGAGCTCCTGACGGAGGATATCTACGTGCGTCTTTGCATCTGATATTGTCTCTCTGACTCCCGATGTGCCCCCGCGCCGGCTCTCTGCATGTCTCCTCTTTGTCTTTCTCTCCCCCTCTATCCGAGGGTTTCAGAGGAGCCGGTTGAACATCTCTTTTCTTGCACGCTGCAGAAGGGGGCATTTTCCCATATTTCTTTAGTAGACTTTGCCCTTCCAGTGTGGCGCTTCTTGTGTTTCTTTCTTTTCGAGAACTTCCTTCTCGTCTTCAATCTTCTGACTTCCAGCGCTTTGAAGGGTTAAGAAAAGCTAACCGGTAGTTCTGTGCTATAGTCACTCCAGGCCGCCGTCCAGCGCGTGACCAACTACGTCCAGGCATTGGAGGAGAAGATGGATGCCCTCGAGCGCAAGAGAAAATAAAAAACAACAGCAGCCGGTTTTCTTCGTGGAAGCGACAGGATGGAGAGTGAGGGATACATTGTGGTAATTGCGGCGACAGGAGGCGGGGGGCATGGATGGATTGGGTTTGAGGGTGGACAGCACACACACAAAAAGCACCAAATACAACAAAGCAGCAGCACAATGGCTCACGAATCGACGTCCCGAAACAAACAAACAGGTTCTTTCATCTCCTCTCTTCCGGGGTCACTGTGAGTGAGGTGGCTTGGGTGGGGTTTGTATGTTTGGATTAGTGAGGTGAGGCGAGGTGTGTATGTGTATACCAAGGATGTAACAACATGCACCGAGATGATGGCACGACGAATTTCATACTGGTTGTACTGAACTGCTAGGTGTCCGTTTGCTGTTGGTGCTGAATGTGTTGAATGTTATGCCAGTATTTAAGGTCTAAAGGACTGGGCTGTCTCGGAGACCTGACAATAGTCTTCTCTGATTGATTCTGTTCCTTCTGGCAGGATGGGGAGTCATTTCCAGCCTCAGGCAGGCGAATGGCACCTGTGACTTTCGATGCCGAGAGGGCCAGGTAACGTCTCGGGATCAACGTCCGTCATGTCTACCACCCTGCGGCTCTCATTGGTTATTCATCCGGTATTCATTATCGATGGAGGTTGCTGGTGTTGGCTTCCCATATCAGGTACCCGGCTTTCGTAAACCCCAGCCACGACTTTTGCGGTGGCAGTTGCGAGAGTGCGATGATCAGATTTAGTATGATTTGTTCTTCAATTTGCTGCGTAGGGCCTTGGTGATGTTTAAGTACACTCGTGAGGGGAAAGGAGAAAGGAAAGGGACGCATTGGCCTACATTATCGTGCGTACTGCGGTTCAGTATCAGGCGTGTTGTCTGAATTGGTCCAAAGGTCAAGCTGGCATGGCCTTTCCGGGCTGCAGACACGAATGGACAGCTCAGTCGTTCTCTCTCTTACCTCTGTCTTCGCTGTATGAGTTCATGCCGGCCTTACCTTAATGATACACTTATGAACGCTGTGGAATTTTCACTTATGAGACGCAGGAAGTTAAATCTTGTGTGATTTCAAGAGCTTCGCTGACCTGGCGTGTAGAAACGGCGCAGCTGGCGCTGAACCTCGTGAGATCAACATCGGAGTCTCAAGGAGTCAAGACCAACTCGTCGACGATGCACAAGGCATATATCTAAGTTCTCTTAAGCCGGTGAAGACTCTTTTACTCAGCCAAGTTGACGCTTTCTTGGATTCGTACCTACTGTGAAGTCCCCAGGGACACTATGTGGCCAGTCCAAGAGGAAAATTCCTCCCACTTGCGTACAGCGCTTTTCGCGGCCTGCTTTCCGGACTCTAGTCTCTAGGCATTTTGTGAAGAATTCTTTTATAAATTTTTATATAACTAGGGATATATAAGAGGTCCCCCTTACTCTAACTACCCCCTATATATTTAACTACTTTTATTAACTATTACTTTATTAAACTATAATATTACTTTAAATTCTACTAATAAGTTTCTTTATTTTAAATAGCTTAATTAGTTTATTTTATAATACTAATTATTAGTTACTTTTTTTTAGATATTTTAGTAATATGTTTAAATTTATTAAATTTTAAAAAAAAATTAGATTATTATAGCTATATTAGTAGAAGATAACATATACTAATACTTCATAGAATAATAATATTACTTAAGTTTATTATAGTTCTAAAAAAAAGAATATTTATTTTAAAATATATAAATATTATCTTTTTTATTTCTAATAACTAAATAAAACTATTATTATTCTTACAATAGTAGTTATAGAAATAGTAAGTGAGGTATTATTTTAGTGTTTTAGTATAATGAATTAAAATAATATAAAACAGGAGATATTTACTTTTTTTAATTAAAGTAATTTATGTTCTCTTTATATACTTTTATAAGTAACTTGTTATAGTCAGCTATCTGATAGTAGGGTCTGCTAACAGAAGCTAGGGATTGATACGTTCTAATAGTATACTGGGTTATAGTCGTAGGTTATAGGCTATAGTAGATTAGGTCTTTAGAGGCTAAGGTGATCAGTCTTAAGCTTAACGAGTGATTTACAGTAAAGGTAAGCTGAAAATATCCCTAAGGATAAATATAAAGTTAATTACTAAAGAACTATAGAAGTCTAACTATAAGCTTAGCTTAAGGTTATACTATATATAAGTTCTAAATAATATCTTTTATCTACTCCTAGGTAATCACTTAAGTATATAAGTAATTATAATTAGTTAGTATAACTAACTAATTACTAAGTATTCTTTTTTATACTCTACTAATCGTTTTTATCTTATTTTTATATAACTTATACTATAATTCTTTTATTCTAAGTAAGTCCTTATTATTCCTATTATCCTATAGTATAAATATTTTATCTTAGCTACTTAACGCCTAAGTAGGTTATTTAGCTATTATTCTTATTTATAGGCTATAATATTAGGTCCCCTCTCTAAAGGTTTTATCCTTAAGACCTAATATAAGTAGGTTATTAGTCCTAGGTTAGGGATCTATTAATTATACTTCCTAATTTACTCATAATACTAATATTATATTAGGTTATATTTAGAAATTAAAATTAAATACTACCTCTACTTTTTATTATTATAATTATATACTACATATTACTAAGTTTAGTTTTATTATTAATATACCTTATTCTTTTTATTATTCTTCTAAGAAGCGCTATAAGCTTCTACCTAGGGGTAAGGTTTATAGTAAATATACTTACTTAGGGTAATTATATAACGTAGTAGTAGATACTGTTTATACTTATAGGTGTTTATTTATACTTATTATTATTGTATAGGGCTAATCTATCTTAGTTGACTGTTTATTAGATAAAGCTACCTATTTAGAAGATATTGAGGTAGCTAAAGAAGAGGTATTAAGGGAGAAAGCTACTACCTTATATATTATATAGGCTAAGTTAGATAAGTTAATAGTATAGTTAGATTATTTATATAAGTAGAAAAGAATAGTGTTTTATAAAGGTTAGAAGGTTATAGAAGAGGAGCTAGTAGTGTCTCTTATATTAGAGGTTTAGTTTATAAGTAGTTTTAAGGTATTAGATCTTAAAGTAATTTTAGATTAGAATCCTAATATATTAGATTTCTTATTAAGGGAGTCTTAGTTATATTTTAGTATTCTTAATTAAATAAGTGTTTTTCTTTACCTTAGTTAGTCTACTTCTATTAGTAGTCTGATATATTTATAAAGGTATTTATTAAAGTGATTAGTTTAGCTAGTATAGATATTATTTCTTATTCTTAATGTTATTACTAGTAGATTATAAGTTCTTCTATTATATTAGTAATATTTTTTATTAGTTCCTATATATTATCTTTATATCTATATCCTTTCTATTTAATAAGGTATTAGTTAGTATCCTTCTGGTTTTTTAAGATAATTAATAATTTATTCTACTTTATATTTTAATTTATTATGTTCTATAATAATAATATTACTTATTTAGGATCTTTATAATACTGATTTAAGAAGTAAGATATAGAAAACTAAGTAATACTTTATAGTTTCTAGAAATTTAAGTTTATAGTTAACTAGTGAAATTATTTATGAGATCCTAAAAGGTCTAAGTTTTTTTTAGTTAAGTTTATTATTTAGTTATTTTATTTTAATGTTTTGCTATATAAGGTAGGCGATATCTCCCTTTTTTAAAGTTAATCCCTTAATCCTTTATTTATTACTAAATTATGCTATTTATTATTATATAAATTTAAGTTCTTTATACATATCATTTTAGATATCTTTAATTTATTATACTGAGGCGATAGCTTTTATTATAGCTAAGCCTAAGTATAGCTTTTTATAAGTAGTTAGCTTAAATCTATAATTAAAGTAGAAGGGGGATTCCTTAGTATTTTCTCTAATTATACTATCATAAGTAAATTAGGTTATTAGTAGGAGTATTATTTAATTATTTTAGTTATAGTTAATATAAGTATAGAGGTATATTTTGAGGATTTAGTTAATCTTTTCTATTTATCTATTAGTTTATAGATAGAACATAATAGATATTACTTACTTAATACTGAGTTATAATATAATTAATTTCTAAAATCTAGAGGTGAAGATTTTATCCCTATCTAATATAATTTCTTTAGGTATTTTATAGTTAGTAATAATATATTTAAAGAAGGTATATATACATTCTTTAGTATTACTTAAGTCTTTATATAGGATAAAATAGGTACATTTTATAAATTAATCTATAATAATAAGAATACTATTAAAATATACTTCTATAAGGGGTTCTTAAGACTTTAGTAGTTTGATAATAAAGTTAAAGGATATAGATTACTGAGTAGTTTATAGTATAAATAAAGGTTATAATATATTATAAAGTTAGTATTAAATAGGTTTACTTTTAAAATAGACCTTATAGTTTTCAATTATTTTTGCTATATATTCTCTAGTAGCCTTTTCTCTATATTATTATTATAATTATTCTTAGGTTTTTATAATCCCTTAGTAACTATATATAGGGTGAGCATAAAACTCTATAATTACTTTATTATCTAGTTTACTAGGTAGGCTAGTATTAGATCGTCTAGCTATTATTAAAAGCTTAGTTACTAATATTGGGTCTCTATTATTATTTCTTTTAAGAATTACTTAGGTTTCGTTAGGTATTAGGATATTATAGTTTAGTTATTAGCTAAGAGTATTAGCTTTACTGTTTTCTATTCTTTTCTAATAGATAATTTAGAAGTTAAATTCTAAGAGGAGTTCTAACTATTTAATCTATTATTTATTAAGTATTTTTAATATAGTAAAATATATTAAGTTCTTATAATTTATATATAAGTATTTTATAGATAGTTTCTAAAAGTTTAAGTTATTATTCTTAAAAAGCTTTAATAATTACTATAAGTTCTTTATTATAAATCTAGTAGTTAAGTTCCAGTCTATAGAGTTTATATAAAAAGAAGGCGTAAAGGTGTAGATATCTTTCTAAAT